ACTCACATGTGGGAAATATATTAATTAATGGCGGAATCAATCTATTAGTAATTAAGTAATAACTTTAATCCTCCTAGGATATTTAAGGACTGATAGTTAAATTTTCCCATACTCACATGTGGAAAAATTAACCATCAGTTTTATACTCACTCCTTTCACAAGATAATCTATAACACCATAAACTACTCATTAGTACTACTACTATACTTAGTACCTGTTGGCTTGACCCCGTTTACACAACTTGCTCTGCACGACAGGGAGACCACGATGTATAGGTGTATCGGACGGTTAACTAATCTAAAATAATTATTTGCCTATTTCCAGTTCAGTGTGACACAAATATAATGGCATAATATGGCATGTTGTATAATACAAGTTCCGTAGAATCATAACTCGCATTAAACAATGCGAGTAGCACACAACTTCGTTCTAGAACGACCTTCAGGGACTTTGTGGATCGTTTTACCAAGCTGCCTACAAGTCATGGATGAGGCATGAAACAAGTAGCTGAAAATCAATTGGTTCTGCAGATATAATTTATAAATTGTTTGCTAAATGGTCAAAAACGCATGGATATGTACAGTTATTAGTGTTACAAAAAGGGTAGTTATCACGTCAGACTTATTTCATAGATTTTACGATATACATCTTGGGCAATGATGAAAATGAGCCATGTAAGCATAATTTAAACATTAAAAGAGTACATAAATAAAGTTTTCTTTAGAACAATCAATACAATGGTTGGTATGGAGAAAATAGATGATTTTTTGGTAGCAATTAGGTTTTCAAGACTACCAACAGTTCATACATGTGAGATGTATTTCGCCTACTTCGTTGAGGTGATGAAGTTCGTACCCTCCTACTTTCCAAAGGCTATTCTCATCAGGATCAAAGTGGACTGCAGTTTCGATCTCGCCTAAGCAGCTCTATCAGTAGCCCCGGCGGGACTTGAACCAGGCATTTTTCAATATCACATTCTGTGATGGGATTGTCGATAAAGCATATTTGCCGTGGCAGTATGATTTAATGGCTAATGTGTCGAGATTAAATGATGCAGTGTTACGGTTCGAATCCCGTTGGGCTGCTGATGAGACTAGTTCAGGCCAAGTCAAAACTGTAGTATGTCCAGCCTGGATGAGGATACCGTTGGGGAAACAAAGCAGTGTGGAATTCATTGGAGACCTCGTTAGGCCTACTCGTTAGATTTGGGCAAAATTCAACTACCAGTCCATAATTACCTTAACGAATTAGAGTGAACACATCTCATGTATATGATTATCGTTTGAACGGAATTCTTGGTCCAAAATTAAGCCCTGTAGATAAAACAATTTGATTCTAATTTTCGTCTTTTGGTTATACTTCAATATTTATAGATAGAAAATATTTTATTTTATTTCATATTTCCAATATAGACGCATATAATATAAGCATGACATGTATGCATATTTTGCATACTCTTACCTGATAAAACATATCTTATCGCATGGGTGCTAAAACGGCCACTTCATTATGCTTGGGGTGATCTCTCTATTTTCCATAATACTTATTTTAAATGTTTCTCAGCATATTAAACAAATGGCAGCATAATAATTCTATTATGCTGGTTGATTTCTTTAAAGTATTAAAATCCGTAAAACACCACGACAACTCTTGCTTATATAAGCCGGATTTTGCCATATCGGCGGCAAGAACCACTCCTAAGGCATTATCATTTATCGCTACATTATTTCATCAATATTTTCACAATGCCAACAATGTCTATAATAGAAATCCTATAAAAATGAGGCTGATCGATCATGATTGGCTCGAAGGCATTGGTTCAGGCATCCCACATGCATGGTTAATATCGAGGCTAGACTAAGTTGGTTGTAGCAATGGGCGTAATGTCAAGTTGGGACGAATACCAAATCGAGCCGAGCAAATGTCTTCTGAATATGCAAACATTGTGGCCTTTTCTCCTCTGCCGGAAGATGCCAACTCAGCGACCTTATTCCGGCTGTTGTGAGATTTCGCTGGGTTGCTCGACAAATAGGAGAGTAGGCCGTTGCTAGCCGGCCTGGAGGCGGTGGCGACAAGATGAAGCAGGAGTGTGTGCCGCATTGCTGTCTGTGGAGGACAGGCGCAGGCAATGGGGGAAGGAGAAGTGGACTGGGATGATCTCGAACTCCAGGAAGAACTTAATCGCATAAAATAGGCATAGAAAGAAATACAGGCAAATTAGCATCACTCGCAAGAGGGCAGGGAATCAGAATGTCACAATGAAACGGAATAGAATGTGTAGAATTAATAGGTTTCACGAACTTTGATGATCAAAAGCGCTGATATATGAGACGAAATTCAGTCTACGCAACTGATTGTGGGCAAATTCAACTTCCAATCCTTCATTCCGATAAATGAAATAGGGTGAATACATATCATATATCTTATTAACTGGTAATCTAAAAAGCTTATTTACAAATGAAAAATAAGCATTAATAATTGGACTTTCCAGCAATACAATAAATTTCAAGCTTCGTCTCGCTAGTCAATTTCGCAAGGCTCTACTCATCTCATACAGATTTTTTCATTCAGAGTGGATTGAAATTTCAACTTCGCTCCTCCAAAGAGGTTTAAAACCGAGTCGTGGTCATTAAACGACAGAAAGTTACCAACCCATCCGTCAGAAAAGTATATCAATGGATGACAGTCATTTTAGAAGTGAAGATGAG